GAACGTGAATTTCTCTGGAAATAGGGTCTTTGCAGAATAATAAGTTAGGATGAGGTCGCCCTGAGGTGGGCGGGGCCCTGATCGAGTGACTGATGTCCCCATAGCAGAAGCACATCTGGACACAGACACACAGGGAGGAGGGCCACGTGGCAGCAGAGATTGGGGTGACGCAGCCACACCTGTCCCTTTCCCCCTGAACAAAGCGCACACGTTCCTTGTTTGTCAGGCCTGGACTCGGTGCCCCCATCTTCCCATCTTTCCAGCTTCCCTCTCCAGCCGGGAGCGGGGCCTATGTGCCAGGAGGGGTATGTGCCTATAACCCTGGCACCTGCCTGAGTATCCTTGACCCCACCACACGTACACACACACACACACACACACACACACACACACACATACATTTTGCTGTCTGTTTTTTCCCCTTACACGATTTCTCGGTCAGCGACCACAAACGAACGCAGACTCGCTCATCAGTTGGCAGATGTCTGAGTTCGTAACGTGTACATCACCAGGGCTGCCCCCAACGTGGGTGGGGTCCTGGGAGATCATTTTGTGTTGGCGTCTGCCTTTCTAAACCATTCCAGTCACCTGAACCGGGAGCCGGGCATCCGAGCCAGGGAAGGGCTGGGGCCCAGATGGGCCCAGTCATCGGCTGGTCAAGCCCACTCGGTGGGGACCCCGGGTGGGCATCGCCCCCCTTGTTCTCACCAAGTCCAGCTGGGCCTAGGGCCTGCGCGGCCCCTCAGACCCCACCTCCCTCTCTTCCTGGATGGCGCGGGGTATCTCCCTCACCGGCCTCCGGCCTCCCTGTGTGGCCCTTCTGCACAGCCACACTCCAGGAGGCCCCGCCTTGCCCCAGGCTCGCCGTCCACCTGGCGGCCCTCGCCGCACACCCCAAGCTCACAAGCCTGCCTCCCGTCCTTGCTGCGGGGCCTCTGGCACACTGTCCGATCTTTGCCGGGCTCACTCCGTCGATCGCCCGGCTGGACACAGGCTGACGGCGAGCCTGGGGGAACGTGGCGACCCTGCGTGGATTCACTGTGAGTCCCCAGCAGCCTCATGCAGCTCCTCTGGGCTCCTGACAGAGAATGGCCCCCCAGAATCCAGAGCGACAGTTTTATCCGCCCCTTAGAGAAATCACAGTTGAATTCTTTTGATTTGAACTTTACAAACTCCCCAGCGGTGATACCGGGAGAGCAGGGAGCCAGAGCAAAGCCTCTCGTCTGGAACACGTGCCCGACTCACTGTCCCTCTTCGGCCCTTCCCGGGGTGGGGGCGGCGGGGCCTGGCGCCGCAGCTGCCCTTGGAGCCCGAGCCGGATAGGGCGTCTCCTGCGGGGGACGTGGCGGGTGGCCTTGTGGCACCCGGCTGGCCACGTGGGGCAGAGGCAACCGGAAGCCAGCGGTTCCCGCCCACGGCTGTTCGGCCAAGATGAGGTATTTTGCGTGTTTAATGTTCATTCGCTTGATGTCCATCCGTTCCACCAGTGGAACTGGTTTCACGATGTGATTTGGCTAAAGATGCCAGCACTCGAGGACTGTCCCGCTGGCCTTGGACAGTACAAGCAGAGGAAGCCGCAGACGGTACCCGTGGTCCGACACGCTACAGGCAGAGAGACAGGCGGTGTGGGGGCGTCGGGCCCGGGGTCACCGTCCCGGGCGGGAGTGACGGACGCGCCTTCTTTCCTGTCTCCGTCTCCCCGGGCTCAGCGCTGGGGCCACAAGAGGCTGCTGTGTCCTCAGCAGGGGGAGGAGGAGTGCACCGGGAGCCGCCTGCCCAGCGCCTCGTCGGGGCCCGGCTCGGGCAGGACATTTGGGAGTGGGGTTTGGGGGTGGGGGTCCGTCGGAGCCGGGGTTTGACCCCACGCACCATTCCCTGAATCGCTACACAGTTGGGAGAGGAAGACAATGCAAAACAGCGTGTTCTTGTCCCCTCGTGTGAACACAGGGTGATGGGGGCGTAGGGGGTTTGCAGGAAGGTGCCGGTGTCCTGCTGCCATGTGCCATGTGTGGGGCCGTGGGGGCGGCCGCCCGTGTCACGTCTGGGCCGCGCCGGGCGCCGCGTGTCTCTAATGGGCAATGCGGCTCTGAACGTTTTCTCCTTCACGCTGATGCTGATGCTCTTGTCCCCGTGTCTAAGCTTTCCGCTAGGAACCCAGGCTGTCCCATAAGGAGGGGGACTGTCACCGACGTCCTCTCCTTACAGGCCCCTCCTAGTTGTGGATTTCCTCGTTCCAGGACTTGGTGGGACCGCAACCCCGTGATGCAGACAAAGTGTGCAGGAGTGTGTATACGTGTGTGTGTCTGCAGCCGTCCGTGTGATTATGTGGATTCGTGCACGCGAGCGTGTTGTGTATTTGTGTGCGTGGGCGTGCATCGGCACGTGTCTACGTACAACCCGGTGGGCAAGCACGCGTGTGCAGCCCTGTGCACCTGTTCATGCAAGTGTGAGTGTGTGTGGACGTGCTTCTCTGTATGTCGGCATGGGTGTGCTCACGCAGACGCGTGTGGACCTGTGTGTGTGTGTGTGTGTGTGTGTGCCCAAGTGTTGAACTCAGAGGTCGCTGTGTAAACTTTGGCAAGGGGGCAGAGTGTGGCAAGTGGGTGTGGAGCACAAGTTAGCAGGTGGCCAGAAGGCTGCCCCTCTGGGGGAGCAGGTGAAGGAACTGGGTAGAGGCTGGCTCACGGGGGTGGGAGCGTGGAGGGAACTGGCCAGAAGCCGGGCTCACGGGCGGGCAGGTGGGGGGCACTTGTCAGAGGCTGGCTCGCTGGGAGGAGCGGGTCACGGACTTCAGTGCAGGGCGCCACGCAGGCATGGGGGAGACCTGCATCGGGGACACCTGCTGGGTTTGCGCGTGTCGTGGCCATGTGCACGGGCTTTAGCGGGATTAACATGAAAAACAGAACTGCGAAGAGCAATAGAACCGGGGTCGCCGTTCATATGGAACTGGATTCGAGAAGTGACGGAAAATGTCACAGCCCACAGATGAATTATTCAGAGGTGGAAAGCAATATTCTGGAGTTCACCAAGGCGTGCTCCGAGGAGACTCCGCGGCAGCGGGTGAAATGTCCGCAGAGCTCAGATTAGGCGGGCGGCCTGACGGGTCAGTTCATCCGAGAGGAGCCTCTTCTGTCCCGAGGGGGTGCAGGGAAGGAGCCAGTGGCCCTGGGAAGCGTCACGGGGTCTAAATGCACCCAGTGGGGCCGAGGGAGAGCGTGACCGCCCACCAGCCGGGGTCGGGTCTCCCTTTATGGGCACGGGGCCCCCCAGATTGTCCCCAGTGCCCAGTGCTGGTCCCAAAAGCAAAGGCAGGAAGAAAGGACAGCTGTCCTCCCCTGAGACGTGCTGTGCACAGTCTGCTGACTGAAGTGGCACGTTCCCACCTCCCCACAGCCACCAACGCCCCCTCGCTGCTCACAAACAGGACACGCGCACGTCCTTGTGCTCCGGGCACCGCCTGGCATTTAATTCTGAATTTACACGGGAGGGAGTGTCACATCACACCGCGCAGACACATCTGCGAGCAAAGCACAGTTCCTGTCCCCCCGTGAGAGCTCGGGGGCTCTGGGGACTGCCAGACGCAGCCCCCGGATACACAACACTACAAAGAAAAAGTACAGTACCCGTTTCTGTATAAGAATATATTATTTAAAAGACAGTTTAAAAATAAAAATTCTGTACAGCATCATGAATTCCGTTTTCCTTTTTTTTTTTTTTTT